TACTAAAGTTGGTGAGAATCGGTTCAAATTTAGATATAGCTCCCATATATATCCTCAACCGATTTCGGGTTAATTGCGCAGCAAATGGCCAATATCTGTCCAAATGGCTTGAATTTTGGTACATCCGACCGAATTCAGTTCAGATATAGCTCCCATATATATGTTTCACCCGATTTGGTGTTTGAGTCCCTCGCATAGGTAAGATGCACCCCATAAGAATGACATTTCGTGCCAGACATCAGATACAGCCCGAAATATCTCTGCCAATTGTATTGGAATATAGCTCTAATATATATCTTCAGCCGATTTCGAGTTAATTGTGCACCAAATGGCCAATATCAGTCCAAATGGCTTGAATTTTGGTATATCTGACCGAATTCAGTCTAGAAGCAAATACATCATATATGGTGAAAATCGGTTCATAATAGCTCCTATATATATGTTGCATCCGATTTGGTGTTTAATTTCCTCACATTCGTAATATGTTTTTAATATAATCCTTCTCGAAGTGATATCAAGCACTCTATAGCAATGTCATTTGGTATAAAAGATAAAAATGTGTCCATCAAATTTATTGAAAATCGATTTAGAATTGGATATGCCTCATCAAATATTCAGCCCAATTACGGTTTTCGTTTCTATAGTCGTCGTCGACTTTATGTGCAAGTCGCCCTCACTGTCGCTTCGATTCAAAAATGGTATTACGGCAAGGCATGGAAGCGACATCGACAGTTTAAAATAAAAGTTGGCAACAACTAAAAAAGCTTTGGTAATACTCCCTTGTTATTGACAAAATAAGATAAAAATTTGTTTGTATTTTGAAATCTAATTTCGTCTCTTTCGGAAAAATAAACAAGTTAAAAAGCAGAAGTTCGTCCGGGCCGAACTTTGAATACCCTCCACCATTTGGAACGAATTTGGCAATAAAATCCTGAAAAAATTTTGGTAAAATTTTAAAAATACCGAATATTGACGTTATATTGGTCCGTATACGACGTGGATCCACACAGGCATTATTTGTAATGAGTCATTACCAAATTCAAATTTGGAACTTGAAATAAACGCGAATAATGTAGCTAAAATCATCAAAGTATAGAATATAGGGAGGTACCGTTATATCGGAGCTGTGCGATGACCTGAACCTGCGTAGACATTTTTTTGTCATATTCTGTAGCATCCATTACGAACTTCAAATACGACATTTCAAACAACTTCGGTGAGTAGTGTACCTAAACTCGTCAAAATACCGAATATAGGGAGGTACTGGTGCATGGGGCCTATACGAAGACCTGGACCTGCATAGACAATTTTCTTTCACAGACTGGAGTTTCCTTTACGAACTCTAAATGCGTAATTTGAAACAATTTGGTGAATAAAGACACTTAAATCACCAAAATACCGAATATATGGAGGTACCGTTATATGGGGGCTATACGAAGACGTGGACCTGAACAAACAATTTTCTGTCTTAGGCTGTAGTATCCATTGCGAACTTCAAATACCAAATTTTAAACAATTCCGATTAATAATGTCGCTAAAATCATCAAAATACTAAATATCGGGAGGTACAGTTATATGGGGCTATACGAAGACGTGGACCTACAGGGCCCATTTTCTGTCTTAGGCTGTAGTATCTATTTCGAACCTCAAATACTAAATTTGAAACTATTCCGGTGAATAATGTCGCTAAAATCATCGAAATACCGAGTATCGGGAGGTACCGTTATTGGGGCTATACGAAGACGTGGACCTGCACAGACAATTTTCTGTCTTAGGCTGTAGTATCCATTTCGAACTTCAAATACCAAATTTAAAACAATTCCGTTGAATAATGTCGCTAAAATCATCGAAATACCGAATATCGGGAGGTACCGTTATATGGGGGCTATATGAAAACGTGGACCTACATGGCCCATTTACGAACCTGCTACTGTAAAAATAGACCTGTGTGCAAAATTTTAGCCTTGTATCTCAATTCGTTCGAAAGATAGCGTGATTACAACAGACAGACAGACGGACATCGCTAAATCCACTTAGAATTTTACGCTGATCAAGAATATATATACTTTGTTGTGTCTGACATGAGTATTTCGAGGAGTTACAAACGGAATGACAAAGTTAATATACCCTCCATAGTATGGTGGAGGGTATAAAAATATAGTGAAACAATGGATATTATAAATGCGTTACATATCTTAAGTTCAAGTGAGGATGAAGTCGAGAATGTATTAGTAGTGCAGCGGCGAGTGCTAAGGCAGCAAACAAACATATTTGCATTGCCTGACTCTTGATTGTGTTGTTCCAAAAGTTTATACTGCTCTTTCAAGAATTCAATAGTTTCTTCTTTCCTTGATGACTTTTTATCATTGTTTTTTTTCTGGGCGATAGAGAAGCTTGGATAGTAGTTACATCAGTCTCGTCATCAGCATTGTCCACTGGCTCATTTTCATTATCTATAACGTCTGTTACAATTATGTTTTCCGTATTTTTTACTCCAAGTACACGACCTGGTGGATTCAGTAACTTTTGAAACTGCATTCCATTCGCGAAGGACTCCTCCCAAAGCGACAAAAATACCACCTCCAGTGCTGCTGGCTTCACCCTTATTGTGCACAATTGTTTTTTAGTTTTTCATTTCAAATCTTTCCAAACCTAGAAGAACTTTAGAAAACTAACTAATAATAATTTTAACTTTAACATACTTTTTGCCAGTCTCTAATCGGTGACCGTTTACATTTAATTTTGTAGCAATGGATTCCAATCTACTTTAAAATTAGCTGGAAAATTGCCTTTGGTAAACCCTTTGGCCAAACATGGTTTTTTTTTATCCAATTTGGAAACCAACATTTCAAATTGTTTTGCTGTTGTTATTTTCATGGTCAAATATCAAATATAAAAAGTTACAATATCAACGTCGACTAAAAAATACAATGTCGATACAATTTTTTACGGTGACAGATTTTCTTAAAAATCGACTTCACGTCGACTGTTGTATCGACAATTATAATATCAATCATTTGTCGCTATCGACAAAAAACGACAACCCTAATATCATTATTGTCGCGTCGACTTCATTATGCGACGCCGACGACAACCATAATAGGGGCGATTAGTTTCCTCTGAAACCAAATTTTAAATGCTCTAAGGCCAAATAAGTGGTATGATGTACTTCAAATAATTTTTTTTTTTTTACGGGAGCTTTACCAAATATGCATAGTGGTGTAGGGTATCATATAGTCGGCCCCCCTTACTTTTGACTTTTCCATGCTGGTTTTATTTTACCAATGGATATCACTTTTCATAAGCTTTCCATTGGTGTATATGTTCGATCGGAAGAATTGTCTTGGAAGGCATATTGGCCAAGGGAATTATCCTGTTTAAAGGATTTCACCAAATACATCGGAATCTGTCCAATTAAACCACAGTTTTTACAAGGCGAGATGAAAAAACTTCAGACTGCTGTCATTTCTAAGCCACAAATTTCTAAGCCAAATATTCCAGTGATAGCTCACTATATTATTTACAAGCGTACAAAAGCATTTTGGTGAGAATTTTTCAGAAAAAAGTTATTCGTGATGGAATACAAGCGCACTCCAGCGTTTAAATGTGAATAAATCTTTTGTGTCTCTTACCATCGCTCGTTACCGTGATACTGGTAGCGTTGCCCGACGTCAAGGAAGTGGACGGAAGAAAACAGCAACATCAGCAGAAATGGTTCAAAAAGTAAAGAAGCGACTTGCAATATTCCATTCGGCAAATTTTGAAAACTGAGCACGGCGTTAAGCCATTGAAACTCCAAAAAGTGCAAGAACTTAGACCGCAACAGAAAGAAAATATACTCAAAAGAGCTAAAGAGTTGCTGCGCTTGGCCGAATTTGGGTTTCTCTGATGGGAAAGCATTCGTTGTCCAGCAGTTTGTAAAAAAAAAACAAAATGATCGTTTTTACTTGCCAATGAGGCCAGCTGAAAATGTGCACCTTCGGATGACCACCAGAACTCAAGCGCCGGCCATGGTGTGCGCCGCCATAACGGCTGATGGTTTCTCTCCGCTCGTATTAATCGACCGTGGCATCAGAATAAATGCCGAATATTATTCGCACTCAACACGCACCACCCAAGAATGGTTACAAAATGAGATTCCTCGCTTCATTTCCAGCGCACAATTGCCACCAAAATCTACGGATACCAATCCGTTGGACCATTGTGTCTGGAGTATTTTGGAAAGCAAAGTTGGCACTGAAAAATACCAAAGTGTCGGTCAAGCAAGTGCTTCTCGTGGGGAATGGGTCAAAATACCGTGACTAATTTGAACAAATCTAAACTTATTCTAAAATTTGATGCTATTTCCGAAATTTTTTGCTACCATTCAATAAAATTTAAAAAAAAAAAAAAATATTGCGTTTGACTTTGTTGCATTTTTTTTTTTTATCTCAGCCTGTATTTCCATAATTTTATGGAACTTTCCTATAATTGTTTTTCGTGTTGCACAGTGTTATATGCGAGAAGGTTGAGATTGAAAAATGTAGTTCGACCCCCCATACTCCTAAAATAGCCTTGTGCTGTAATTGTCGTGAATTTCCATTGATATAAATTGACAACACTAAATAACAAATTACAGCGTCTTATCATAATTAAAATACCAAGAATTCATAGTTAGTATACCTTAAAAGTCAACCAAGCACCCAATAAGTAACTTCTAAATCGAACGGATTTATCTCAGGCGGAAAGGTGTACAGTGAATAGTATAAATTATCATAGACATGTTCAGGAGCAGGGAGGAAGATGTATTTCCACATTTTTCACGGACAAAATGCTCCTGGAACTGGAATTTTTTCTTCTTGCTAAAATTTTATAAGTAAGTTTAAATCTCGGTACAGATTGTTTATATTCCATATGATGAGGGTATTAATAATTCGCACAAATGTATTATTTGCCTTTTAATAAATGGTATTTCCACAAACGACCATTTGTCACATGACTTATGACAATTTACCAATCAATTATTCAATTAAAAAATTCGTTTTTATTTCTTAACACATTTTTACAAAATACAAATAACATTATTGGTAACATAGAAAAAAGTATATACTATTTGAATACATATAAGTATGCCTGTAAACTTATGGCAGCTTTTACAAATTAAATTTGGTATGTTTCAGTTGGCTAACTCCAACTTCATTTACATTGTGATGTACAACTATTTTAACATTTAATTAAAAAAAAAAAAAAAAACATAACAAAAAAAATCTTCAATAAATATTGTCACACATATTCAATAAATTATTAATGGCGAGAGTTAGACATCACAGCTGTATGGGTCACACCCTACGTTGTAGCTTATATCAAATTAGTTGCCAGCGGTATTTAAGTTCGATGCCTCCGTAACGCCATCCGTTGACAGAGTGGCTTGGTGCATTAGTTTGTCCATCTCTTCCTTGGTGGCGCGCTTAAAGAAACCGGCCCTATACATGCCATATGTTATTAAGGCCAGGACCAGCAGACCACCTATTACGGACACTATTATAACCCATATGGGTGTACCGTACAGCTGATGCTTCGAAATAATATTGTACTCTATATTTTTGGCAACAGCCAAAGTTGTGCCCAAGGGGTCACCAGTCTTTTGTACATTTAAACCAACAACGACCACAAAGAACTCCCAGGGTTCGATTAGAATCTGATTGACCGCCTTCAGGTCCACGTGGTATTTCATGGTGACTGTTAGCGGCTTATTGGGTTTGAAATCGTACAGGGGGATTACAGCTTGGACACATATTGTGGTCTCGGGATCGTTACAATTGAAGACTATCGTACGATTGACCGGAAGGGTTCCTTTCAAATCCTCGCCCAACAATTCATACGATTTTGGATTTGCAATCCGAGCATAATGTTCCTTGTTGACAGTTAAAGTTGCCGCTTCACGACGTCTGCGTCGACGCGATGCTGAGCCAGACATAAATGAATCTGAGAGGAAACAAAAAAAATTAATTAATTAATATTCGCCCTAACTTTATTTCTCTTCGCTAAAAATATTTCGAACCTCAAATACTAAATTTGAAACTATTCCGGTGAATAATGTCGCTAAAATCATCGAAATACCGAGTATCGGGAGGTACCGTTATTGGGGCTATACGAAGACGTGGACCTGCACAGACAATTTTCTGTCTTAGGCTGTAGTATCCATTTCGAACTTCAAATACCAAATTTAAAACAATTCCGTTGAATAATGTCGCTAAAATCATCGAAATACCGAATATCGGGAGGTACCGTTATATGGGGGCTATATGAAAACGTGGACCTACATGGCCCATTTACGAACCTGCTACTGTAAAAATAGACCTGTGTGCAAAATTTTAGCCTTGTATCTCAATTCGTTCGAAAGATAGCGTGATTACAACAGACAGACAGACGGACATCGCTAAATCCACTTAGAATTTTACGCTGATCAAGAATATATATACTTTGTTGTGTCTGACATGAGTATTTCGAGGAGTTACAAACGGAATGACAAAGTTAATATACCCTCCATAGTATGGTGGAGGGTATAAAAATATAGTGAAACAATGGATATTATAAATGCGTTACATATCTTAAGTTCAAGTGAGGATGAAGTCGAGAATGTATTAGTAGTGCAGCGGCGAGTGCTAAGGCAGCAAACAAACATATTTGCATTGCCTGACTCTTGATTGTGTTGTTCCAAAAGTTTATACTGCTCTTTCAAGAATTCAATAGTTTCTTCTTTCCTTGATGACTTTTTATCATTGTTTTTTTTCTGGGCGATAGAGAAGCTTGGATAGTAGTTACATCAGTCTCGTCATCAGCATTGTCCACTGGCTCATTTTCATTATCTATAACGTCTGTTACAATTATGTTTTCCGTATTTTTTACTCCAAGTACACGACCTGGTGGATTCAGTAACTTTTGAAACTGCATTCCATTCGCGAAGGACTCCTCCCAAAGCGACAAAAATACCACCTCCAGTGCTGCTGGCTTCACCCTTATTGTGCACAATTGTTTTTTAGTTTTTCATTTCAAATCTTTCCAAACCTAGAAGAACTTTAGAAAACTAACTAATAATAATTTTAACTTTAACATACTTTTTGCCAGTCTCTAATCGGTGACCGTTTACATTTAATTTTGTAGCAATGGATTCCAATCTACTTTAAAATTAGCTGGAAAATTGCCTTTGGTAAACCCTTTGGCCAAACATGGTTTTTTTTTATCCAATTTGGAAACCAACATTTCAAATTGTTTTGCTGTTGTTATTTTCATGGTCAAATATCAAATATAAAAAGTTACAATATCAACGTCGACTAAAAAATACAATGTCGATACAATTTTTTACGGTGACAGATTTTCTTAAAAATCGACTTCACGTCGACTGTTGTATCGACAATTATAATATCAATCATTTGTCGCTATCGACAAAAAACGACAACCCTAATATCATTATTGTCGCGTCGACTTCATTATGCGACGCCGACGACAACCATAATAGGGGCGATTAGTTTCCTCTGAAACCAAATTTTAAATGCTCTAAGGCCAAATAAGTGGTATGATGTACTTCAAATAATTTTTTTTTTTTTACGGGAGCTTTACCAAATATGCATAGTGGTGTAGGGTATCATATAGTCGGCCCCCCTTACTTTTGACTTTTCCATGCTGGTTTTATTTTACCAATGGATATCACTTTTCATAAGCTTTCCATTGGTGTATATGTTCGATCGGAAGAATTGTCTTGGAAGGCATATTGGCCAAGGGAATTATCCTGTTTAAAGGATTTCACCAAATACATCGGAATCTGTCCAATTAAACCACAGTTTTTACAAGGCGAGATGAAAAAACTTCAGACTGCTGTCATTTCTAAGCCACAAATTTCTAAGCCAAATATTCCAGTGATAGCTCACTATATTATTTACAAGCGTACAAAAGCATTTTGGTGAGAATTTTTCAGAAAAAAGTTATTCGTGATGGAATACAAGCGCACTCCAGCGTTTAAATGTGAATAAATCTTTTGTGTCTCTTACCATCGCTCGTTACCGTGATACTGGTAGCGTTGCCCGACGTCAAGGAAGTGGACGGAAGAAAACAGCAACATCAGCAGAAATGGTTCAAAAAGTAAAGAAGCGACTTGCAATATTCCATTCGGCAAATTTTGAAAACTGAGCACGGCGTTAAGCCATTGAAACTCCAAAAAGTGCAAGAACTTAGACCGCAACAGAAAGAAAATATACTCAAAAGAGCTAAAGAGTTGCTGCGCTTGGCCGAATTTGGGTTTCTCTGATGGGAAAGCATTCGTTGTCCAGCAGTTTGTAAAAAAAAAACAAAATGATCGTTTTTACTTGCCAATGAGGCCAGCTGAAAATGTGCACCTTCGGATGACCACCAGAACTCAAGCGCCGGCCATGGTGTGCGCCGCCATAACGGCTGATGGTTTCTCTCCGCTCGTATTAATCGACCGTGGCATCAGAATAAATGCCGAATATTATTCGCACTCAACACGCACCACCCAAGAATGGTTACAAAATGAGATTCCTCGCTTCATTTCCAGCGCACAATTGCCACCAAAATCTACGGATACCAATCCGTTGGACCATTGTGTCTGGAGTATTTTGGAAAGCAAAGTTGGCACTGAAAAATACCAAAGTGTCGGTCAAGCAAGTGCTTCTCGTGGGGAATGGGTCAAAATACCGTGACTAATTTGAACAAATCTAAACTTATTCTAAAATTTGATGCTATTTCCGAAATTTTTTGCTACCATTCAATAAAATTTAAAAAAAAAAAAAATATTGCGTTTGACTTTGTTGCATTTTTTTTTTTATCTCAGCCTGTATTTCCATAATTTTATGGAACTTTCCTATAATTGTTTTTCGTGTTGCACAGTGTTATATGCGAGAAGGTTGAGATTGAAAAATGTAGTTCGACCCCCCATACTCCTAAAATAGCCTTGTGCTGTAATTGTCGTGAATTTCCATTGATATAAATTGACAACACTAAATAACAAATTACAGCGTCTTATCATAATTAAAATACCAAGAATTCATAGTTAGTATACCTTAAAAGTCAACCAAGCACCCAATAAGTAACTTCTAAATCGAACGGATTTATCTCAGGCGGAAAGGTGTACAGTGAATAGTATAAATTATCATAGACATGTTCAGGAGCAGGGAGGAAGATGTATTTCCACATTTTTCACGGACAAAATGCTCCTGGAACTGGAATTTTTTCTTCTTGCTAAAATTTTATAAGTAAGTTTAAATCTCGGTACAGATTGTTTATATTCCATATGATGAGGGTATTAATAATTCGCACAAATGTATTATTTGCCTTTTAATAAATGGTATTTCCACAAACGACCATTTGTCACATGACTTATGACAATTTACCAATCAATTATTCAATTAAAAAATTCGTTTTTATTTCTTAACACATTTTTACAAAATACAAATAACATTATTGGTAACATAGAAAAAAGTATATACTATTTGAATACATATAAGTATGCCTGTAAACTTATGGCAGCTTTTACAAATTAAATTTGGTATGTTTCAGTTGGCTAACTCCAACTTCATTTACATTGTGATGTACAACTATTTTAACATTTAATTAAAAAAAAAAAAAAAAACATAACAAAAAAATCTTCAATAAATATTGTCACACATATTCAATAAATTATTAATGGCGAGAGTTAGACATCACAGCTGTATGGGTCACACCCTACGTTGTAGCTTATATCAAATTAGTTGCCAGCGGTATTTAAGTTCGATGCCTCCGTAACGCCATCCGTTGACAGAGTGGCTTGGTGCATTAGTTTGTCCATCTCTTCCTTGGTGGCGCGCTTAAAGAAACCGGCCCTATACATGCCATATGTTATTAAGGCCAGGACCAGCAGACCACCTATTACGGACACTATTATAACCCATATGGGTGTACCGTACAGCTGATGCTTCGAAATAATATTGTACTCTATATTTTTGGCAACAGCCAAAGTTGTGCCCAAGGGGTCACCAGTCTTTTGTACATTTAAACCAACAACGACCACAAAGAACTCCCAGGGTTCGATTAGAATCTGATTGACCGCCTTCAGGTCCACGTGGTATTTCATGGTGACTGTTAGCGGCTTATTGGGTTTGAAATCGTACAGGGGGATTACAGCTTGGACACATATTGTGGTCTCGGGATCGTTACAATTGAAGACTATCGTACGATTGACCGGAAGGGTTCCTTTCAAATCCTCGCCCAACAATTCATACGATTTTGGATTTGCAATCCGAGCATAATGTTCCTTGTTGACAGTTAAAGTTGCCGCTTCACGACGTCTGCGTCGACGCGATGCTGAGCCAGACATAAATGAATCTGAGAGGAAACAAAAAAAATTAATTAATTAATATTCGCCCTAACTTTATTTCTCTTCGCTAAATACTTACCGCCAAAGGACTCTTCTCTAATATTGAACTCATTTATGTGACCCATATTGGTGGAGTCGTAATGCATGCCATTGTTGTTGCCTGCTCCGTCGCCAATCGAGGCAATTTTGCCGGTAAATTGTGTCGAGTAGCTGGATGCTTTCTCCACTGCGTTCATCAGGATTTGCGTGGTATTCTGATAGAACTGAACATCCTTGATTTGTGAATCGTAGACGGCTTGCATTGTGATGTTGCTCAAATCAATAATTGGTATATTTTTGTTATTTCCTGAGTTGATGTAGGCCACGGGTATGTCAAATACGACTTTCATAGAACCGATATTACTGGGTCCAACACTCTTGATCTGTTGATACATAAAACAAAACACTTGCATTAGAATGAGTACATTACAAATATGTCAATATAAGTCGGGAATTTGCTTTATTGTGGCATTTATCACTTCTAAAAAGCGAGTATTGGGCAAAATAACAATGGACCTAAATTGGGTGTTTAATGCTAATATGACACACTGGCTAACATCTACATCTGACAGGGGGACGACCTAACACTAGTTTTATAATTAGTACAAATATTGAAGGCAAGTGGGGAATAATTTCATATTATAAGAGAAAAAAAAAAATAAACTATTTGTGGGAGTAGACCGACATATCTGCATATAAGATCGGGTTATAATTGGGATATACGAAGCAGGAAAAAATTGGATACTAATTGAACATTTTATGAGAATTATTTGCATTCAAAATGATGACATTTTGGGGCGGGAACGAGAAGCAGCGGACAATATTTTCAAACATGGATAAAATTAAGAGAGTTATAATTCGAAATGTTGGCCTTTTTGTGGAAGGTACATAAATGAGAGGTAAAATATTGTCTATTTTCACATCTAACATAAGCCATTTCTACATATTGCGATGTACCAAGTTTCAAATGCATCGGGTACTCCCTTCGTTCAACATTAGATTGGCACTAATTCCACGTTTTACTAAAACAGTTATTATTCAAAACTATTTTAACTTTTGTGGGTGAGGTACAAGAAATAGCGAACCAATATTGACCATTTTGGCATCTGACTTGACCGTATCAAATGATATATACTCTCTGTAGCCAAACTATCTGAATTAATAAACATTGACAATTAATTACTAGTAATTAAAAGCCAAAAGTCGGGCGACTGCATGACACCCTACACCACTATGCATTTTTAGTAGAGCTCCCCTAACAAAGCGAGCTATATATATATATATATATATATATATATATATATATATATATATATATATATATATATCTGAATTAAAGCGTGTTTTACTCTAAACTTCGTGTACCAGTAAGACCGTTTGGATAATGTAGTTACATTTATCAAAACAAGTTAAAAAGTATCAGTCGGTATTGCCGCCAGAGATATACCCTCAGCCTATGTTCGACTATCTAAATATATTTTGACTAGTGTTAAGGTTATTCAAACGTTTGACCCTCTATGGAGCAGATCCCGAAGGAATGGGCCAATATTGCCCATTTTCTATCGGACCCAAAATATGATATAAATATTTCGACAGATGTGCCAAGTCTAAATGGAATCGGACGTTAATTTGGCGATTTATGAGCTTCATGGGTACTCAAAATTTCAATATTTTGTGGGGGAGGTACTTGATGGAGTGGACCGATATTGTCCATTTTCACACCTGTCCTAGCACTGACGCAAATACTAGGATTTGCAAAGTTGGAGCAAATTCGGATTATCCTTTCTCTTTCTGTGCAAAGAATATATTTTTTGAATATTTCGACCTTTTGTGGGGGAGGTACCAGAAGGAGTGGGCTGATATTGTTCATCTTAACACAAGACCTTGGGTTAATATAAATATTGGGATGTGTGAAATTTGAAGACAGTCGGACTCTTACATAACATTTTATGAGAGTTGTAATTATTCAAAATTTTGACCATTTGTGGGGGAGGTACTTGATGGAGTGGACCGATATTGTCCATTTCCACACCTGCCCTAGCACTGACGCAAATATTAGGATTTGCAAAGTTGGAGCAAATTCGGATTATCCTTTCTCTTTCTGTGCAAAGAATATATTTTTTGAACATTTCGACCTTTTGTGGGGGAGGTACCAGAAGGAGTGGACCGATATTGTTCATCTTAACACCAGACCTTGGGTTAATATAAATATTGGGATGTGTGAAATTTGAAGACAATCGGACTCTTACATAACATTTTATGAGAGTTGTAATTATTCAAAATTTTGACCATTTGTGGGGGAGGTACTTGATGGAGTGAACCGATATTGCCCATTTTCACACCTGACTTTGCACTGACGCAAATATTAGGATTTGCAAAGTTGGAGCAAATTCGGATTATCCTTTCTCTTCCTGTGCAAAAAATATATTTTTTGAAAATTTCGACCTTTTGTGGGGAGGTACCAGAAGGAGTGGACCGATATTGCCCATCTCCGAACTCGATCTAAGTTTGACAAAAATATTACGTTGTAGCCAATTTGGACCAAATCGGATACTCCCTTCGAGAGTTATCGTGTGCACCAGCCAGCCAGACAGACAGACAGACAGACGGACGGACGGACGGACGGACGGACGGACATCGCTAGATCGACTCCAAATGTTCTGAAACGGATTTGGTCCAAAGAGACCTAGGGTCTAAAACCGTTATTTCGACTAGGCACGTTTTGGCCGTATCAAATGATATATACCCTCTGTAGCCATATGGCTGAGGGTATAAAAACATAAAGTGAGTGAGGCCGATATATGGAGCCATACCAAAACGGAAACCACAATTTTATACTTCAAGGATTGTCATCTTCTAAAATACCAAATTTGAAACAATTTCATGAGTAAATGTGACTAGGATGATCAAAATACCGAATATCGGTGGATATCGATTTATGTGCGCTATAGGTATTCTATATTTCGCCACCGGAGCTAGAACCCATCATGGCCAACAAATTCCAATTTTAAGAAAAATTCGAAGGAAAATGTGGCAAAAATCATCAAAATACCGAATATCGGGAGGTACCGTTATATGGGGGCTACACTAAAATGTAGGTCTATACGTACAATGTTTCGCCACCGGAGCTAGAACCCATCATGGCCAACAAGTTCCAATTTTTAGACAAATCCGCGTAAAAATGAGGCAAAAATAATCAAAATACCTAATATCGGAAGGTACCTCTAGTATGGGGGCTATACCAAAACGTGGGCTATACCTATACATACAATTTTTTGCCATACAAGCTATAACCTATTATAAACTACAAATACCGATTTTAGACAAATCCCTGAAAACTGTGGCAAAAATCATCAAAATACAGAATATCGAGAGGTACCGTTATATGGGGCTATACCAAAACGTGGACCTATACATACTATGTTTCACAACATGAGCAAAAATCCATTATGACCCACAAATACCAATTTTTATACAAAACCGTGAAAATTGTGGAAAAAATTAACAAAATACCGAATATCGAAAGGTACCAATACCAACCATCCTAGGCACAATACAAAGTGTTTTGCTCAATTTTGACGCTCTATGTCAAATAATGTGGACTTTATTTAACAGAAAGACAGATGGACGGACAGACAGACGGGCATCGTTAAATCGACCTAATTTTATGCTGATTATGAATATAAACCCTTAATGGGTCTACGATGAATATTTAGGGATGTTATAAACGGAATGACAAAGTTAATATACCCTCCTATCCAAGGTGGGGGGTATAATAAACAAGTTATAAAGCAGTAAGTTCGGCCGGGCTGAACTTTGAACACTCCACCATTTGGAACGAATTTGGACATTTTCAAAAAATAAAATCCGTTAAAAATTCTGGTAAAATCGTAAAAATACCGAATATAGCCGTTATATACCGAAATACCGAATATAGCCGTTAAACTGTGAATAATGTAGCATCATCAAAATACCGTAGATGGGGAGGTACCGTTATATCGGAGCTTTACGAAGACGTAGACCTGCATAGACAATTTGCTGTTACAGGCTGTAGCACCAATTTCGAACTTCAAATACGGCATCTCAAACAATTTCGGTGAGTATTGTACCTAAAATCGTCAAAATACCGAATATAGGGAGGTACTGATATATGGGGCCTATACGAAGTCCTGGACGTGCATACAAAATTTTCTGTTACAGACTGTAGTTCCCATTACGAACTCTTAATACGTAATTTTAAACTACTCCGGTGAATAATGTCGCTAAAATCATCAAAATGCCGAATATCGGCAGGTACGGTTATATGGGGGCTATATGAAAACGTGGACCTACGAATTTAACCTGTCTGCTCGCAAAATAAACATGTGTGGAAAATTATAGCCTTCTATCTCAATTCTTTCGAAAGATAGTGTGATTGCAACAGACAGACTGACATCGCTAAATCGACTTAGAATTTTACGCTGATCAAGAATATATTTATACTTTGTTGTGTCTGACATGAGTATTTCGAGGAGTTACAAACGGAATGACAAAGTTAATATACCCTCCATAGAATGATTATGGATATAAAAATATGATAGAACAGTGTTGACATTTTTGTTCTGGATACCGTAGTTATTTTGTAGTAGCAAAGTAGTTAGGCTTAATTCCACAATTGTTGGTTTTATAAAAACAATGTTTTTATCGTCACATGGGTAAAAATGTTTTTTGTCATAGGAGCTTGCTAGGGAGAATATCCCCAGAAAAAAGCCAAGGGAGCTGATGAGGATTGGTGACTCTTTCCGAATCCATGGTATTCCCTGCCTTAACCCCTGGTAAACATTGCCATGTTTCTTCACTAATAAACAAACGCTGTTTTTATAAAAACACAAGTATGGGATCAATCGAACTATTTTGCAACAACATGGTATAAACCAAACATGGACCTATTTTTAAACTTATTCAAGAAAAGCCCGAATAGGGGGAAATATATTTTTGAGGTGTTTTAAAAAGAAAGACGAAATAAAGGTACTCTTCATTTTAAAAATCTAATTAAAATAAAATTAAAGAAAATATTATGGGAAGAAGAAAAAATTAGTATGGGAAAATATTATAGCAATATACAAAAAAAACCTGATCGAGAACATAGGAGATTTGGAAACATTATGACAACATTATTATTTGCATCGTATCGTTAACACCTGAGTTTCCTAAAAAATATGTAAACGGTAACACATTCATATTTTACTCACATCATAGAGATTAATCACTTCAGCTGTATTGCCTGCCTTTTCCAAGTTGATATGCTCTGTGATTGGCTTTCTGAATCGAAAGAAATGACAAAACGTTCAGTATCCAAGAAATACATTTACACTAGTTTACAACTCACCCAACAGCAACAATTTCGGTGAACTCGGTTAGGGTAATCACATCTGAGGCAATGTTATCCCTGTCGTTAAGTTCCCTTCCAGTGCTGAAGACCTTGGCCACTATGGTCATACTTTGTCCCGATATGTTGCTTGTATCGAATATCACTGTGACAGTGTCCTTTGAGCCCTTGGCCATTGGTTGGCCCCGATTGAGGTCACATATTAGAGAGACATCCTGATTATTTGTTTTGCAGTTGGAGGGAATTTTGGCAAACGGCATACGATTGGAGGAGGTGATGTTGATCTGGGGTAAATAGGCAGTTTCACCGTTGTTTGAGACATCATAGGAAACGCTGAAAGTGCGGCTACTACCCAAAACGAATTTATTCCTGCAAGGGGGTGACATCGAAAAACACAATCAAGACATTGACGGACCGTTGAAAAAAATCATTTACTCACTCTAAATTACTTTTAACTTGCAAATCGGCCACACAAATTTCCGAGGCACATCCGGTGCTGAAGATAATCTTCTCCGTGTGGGATGAAGGCTCTGCGGGATCTACAGCAGCACAAGTTTCACAGAATTCTGTTGTAAACAAATAGAAAAAAACAGTGTTGGCATTTATTTTGTTATGTCATATGGGCAGGTTTAAACTCTTTTCTAAAAAAAAAGAAATAAAATAATCTACAAATATTAGTGCAGAAAGTGATGATGTTTACCAAGGGACAAAAAGGTAACAAAGACTTCTCTTGGATTTTGTCACAAGTTGTTTTCAATTAGGTGTGTCTGGTCACTAATTCTTTTCCAGCAACTTCTTTTCGAGAGAGTAAGGTAGTTTTATTCTCTTTTGCAAGAATCCATTGAAAAGTAAACAGACGGATTTCCTGACAAAACCTGGCAGCAAAAATATTTTATCCGCCATAAAAAGAAGCAAAGCATGTAATTTTCATTAAAAACTAACAATAAACATGCTTTTGCGTTCGGCCGTGTCGATCTTTTTATACCCTCCCTTATTGAAAGTGTTACGTTTCTTAAAATATATGTAAACTCTCCAAGGTCCCCCTTTGGAGCAAAATACCACTGTTATAAGGAAATTGCCATATCAAATATCGGGAGTTATCGTTATATGAGGGCTATGTAGAAACGGACTTACAGTAACGATTTGCCAAAAATTGTTACAAATTTTAGCGTATCCAGACAGCCCTAATAACATCTTGGCATAATACCCAAGGAAATTAGGAGGATTTGTGGCTAATTTCGAAGCCATTATTTTCTTTGTCCTACCCCTTGTAAGCCATGCCATTTTTCTCCACTGAATTAATTATTCGAAGTTTTTATAAATAAAACAAAAACATAATGAAGCCTGATTGCTTGGAAATTTAAAAATTAAACCAGTAAAGAAAGGTCAAAAGTCTATATAAATTAAGTGGAGGTAGACGCAAAAAATTTGATGGAGGGTGAATCATATATTTGGGAGTTATAACTATATCAGAACCGATTTTCACCAAATTTCAAGTACTTGCTTCTAGGCTGAATCAGGTGGTATGTGCCTAAATCTACTCCATTTGGGCTGATTTTAACCTTTTGGTGCACAATAAACGTCAAATCGGACAAGTATATATATGGGAGCTATAGCTAGATCAGAAACGATTTTCACTAAATTTTGAAGTATTTGCTTCTAGGCTGAATTCGGTCGTACATTCTAAAATCATTTTCTTTTGGGATGATATTTTCCTTTTGTGCACAATAAACCTGAAATCGGATAAAGATAAATATGGGAGCTATACCCATAATCTGAACTGTTTTTGATAAAATTTGGGCGGGGAACAGGCCAGGTCCGACATCTGGTACCAAATATTTTGGAGTGTATATTGCGAATGTGAGGGACTTATATATCAAATCGGATGAATCAGATATATGGGAGCTATATCTGAACCGATTTTAACCACCATTTTCAATAGAGTTTTTGTTATGGGGGCCAAACAAATGAGTTGAGATGCGACCTGCACTTTTTTTTACAAAAATACATGGACAGATGGACGGTCATCTACGTTTGATATTTACTTTTTTATACCCTGCGCTGCGCTGTGCTACAGGAAATTATGTTTTTGTGCATTTGTCTGTACAAGGCAAAAGATAGTGAGGCAGATGCATACTCCCTTTTCATGCAAAATTAATAACTTCTAAAGTCCGACAGTTCCGGCTTTCCAAATCCTACCTTCAGTATTCGGAATGCCATTGGCCAATCCATAGCGCAATTCCATTTCAATCGGTTTGAATATGGTTTCCACATTGAAACGGACATTACAGTCGATTTCGGTGCACTGCTCCTTCGTCGTGGCTGTAGATTTGAATTTCATTTCGTTGCTATTCGTAGAGGCGATTTGAACCCGCTTCACTTGGGGATCCAGAATAACGTGCATGTTCAGTTCTTGGGATTGTGTTTTAGGCGAAGTTGTGATAATGCTGTAACACACTTTGACTCGGAAGGATGTTTGTTCTGGCTTGATTTCACGGGTTGCCGAAGAAATACTAGCCTTAATGGATACCACCGGATATGAACGATACACGAATACTGTTTCCGCATTGGGAGCACCAATGGCAAAATCATTGAAACCATTGCCATCAATGTCCGAACCCTTAGAGAGACCGTGACCAAACATTGCTTGGCCGTAAGCGGACTTTTGGGCACTGTTAAAATCGAAACGCTGACTATGACGTTCGCGTAGACCACGTTCGCTACCCAAATAAACGAATACAGATCCATCCTTGGCGAACGGAGCACTGACTGCAATGTCATTGAAACCATCATGATTGATGTCGCCCAAGGCGGTGAGTGTGCTGCCAAATCGGGCCTTGCCTCGAATGGGTGACAATATAATATTCCGTTCGAAATTCATCTGAAATTAAATAGAAACTCAAAAAGGGTTGTTGATGGAGCCTGCACTTGACTTACATTGCCTTCGTTGAGGAAAACATAAATGGCTCCATCATCGAATGATCCCGAAATACTGTGCTGCGGGGCAGAGACGATCACATCGGTCAGACCATCACCATTGACATCCTCGGCTAAAACCGCATAACCAAAATACTCTCCAAACTGTGTACCGCGAAATACGTAAAGTTTGTTTAGCGAGTTCCTGGAAAAATCGAAGATATATGCCTAAACCAGGAAAGGAATGTATTAGTTCACTCTGCACCCTCCATTTATTGCAATCGTTTCGTCCTAAACTTACCAACCCCGATTGTTGGTTATCCTGAGGTGCCGAGGCAACGTATAATAATTTCTTGCGATCATTCGAATCGAAATAGCCAGATGCCACAGAATAACCGAAGTAAGAGTCGTCGGGCTGATCGAAATTTTTGGGATTTGGTATGTCGACTTCGTATCTTGTAAACGGTGTGGGCTGAACGTCGGCCTGTCTGGTAATGCGTGCCCGTGACACACTGCTGGTATCGCGACGGCTCAAACTCGGTTCGTCAGTGTCCACCACCTTGCGATAACGTATCACGGATCCCTTCCATGTGTGTATACCTGGAGCGCCAATCAAGAACTCTTCGTTGTCGGGAGTGACATGGGCACTGATGCCCTGTTCGCCCAACATGTAATAATAAATGCGCTTTCCATTCTCGTCTGTAACTTGTTCCTGCTTGCCACGTAATGGCGAAATTCTTGTCACGTTAACCGGATTCTGAGTCAGCGTGTTATTGATCCAATAGCAGATACCGTGCATTAGGTAATCATTTGTAGCAGGTGTGATAAAACGAGGAGCACATACGATAAGTTTGTCCGTATCAGTCCGACCTCCGTCTATGGATGCTCCCAGCCACTGGTGATCTTTCATCTCCGAGTCATATGAATATTCACTGACCGGAACATTGATATTTCCACGATCGTCGAACACATAAGTGTTGCATTTCGGTGTGCCAGTTAGAGTACAGCGATAAATGGCACCGGTTTCATTGACAGCGCGCTGTTCCTCCAATGTTGACTGAGCACGTGGAGCACCGACAATAATGCTGCAATGATAAGAAAATACGAAAACCTTTAAATCTCCATATAAAAAAATTCAACTGTCAATTTTTATCTTTGACTTCAAAGTCGAGGAACAGATGTTCGTAAATTTCGATTTAAAAATAGTCTATACTCTTTGTAGATTTTCGGTGGATACATGTCTACGCCAAATATTTAAAAACAACAAATTTTATGAATAAATAAACGTATCGGTTCGAAAATTAGTATACCAGACAAAAGTGATTGTGTCTTCGATCCTGAGTACTTATTTGGGGTCTGAAGTACTTAACACGCCTACGTTTTATACCCTCCACCATAGTATGGAGGACATATTAAGTTTGTCATTCCGTTTGTAACACCTCGAAATATACATTTCAGATCCCACAAAGTATATATATTCTTGACCAGCATAAAATTTTACGTCGATTTAGCGATGTCCATCTGTCCGTCTGTGGAAATCACTCCAGCTTCCGAAGGAATTGAAGTAGATTGATAAAATTTTACTCAAATGTATATTATGTAAATGGGCCATGTAGGTCCACGTTTTGGTATAGCCCCCATATAACGGTACGCCCCGATATTCGGTATTTTGATGATTTTTGCGTAAATATTCATCGGAATTGTTTTAAATTTGGTATTGAAGCTACAAATGAACACTGCAGCCTATGACAGAAAATTTTCTGAGCAGTTCCACGTTTTCGTATAGCCCCGATATAACGATACCTCCCGATATTCGGTATTTTGATTATTATGACAAAAGTTACTTATGCAGGTCCATGTCGTCGTATAGACCATAATGTAACAGCTACATTCATATATGAACTTTTACGGCGGAAATACCAAAAAGTGTGGGCTGGTATTATCCACTTCCACACCTGCTCTAATATAACTTTAATGCCGTTCAATGCTGACATACAGACAATGAAACTATATCAATATAACGAGTATATTTGTAGACAACTACGAAATCGTATCTGAGAACAGCGCCATTTACTTACGATTGACCATTTTCAAGATAGATGTTACCTTGTCCGATTTGAGGTGGTAATTGTGCAATATGGGTACATTTCTCTTAGGTTGAGAATCACAGTTATTCTAATTATAACACGACGTCACAGTTTAACCGTCTAATAAATATTTCATGTTTTCAAATGTTTAAATCATGGCAGAAATACCAGATAACAAAATAGGCGAAAAATACAACAGAGCAACTTTTGTCGGAACTAGATAAGTCAAAATTGTAGGCAAGTCACATTTCTGGGCACATTTAATTGACATATAAAATTTGAGACAATTTGTTTTGCACCAATAAGAACATCTCATTTTGATACATTGAATAATTTTGTTGTCCTTATTATTTGCATTAAAAAACGGAAGGAAATGTTGTGTAAAAGCAAACAAAAAGTCGAAGACTCGAAATAAGACAAGAAATCAAAAAACAACCCTCCAAATATAATTTGCAAAATCTGCTGCTCCAAATAATGGATTTTTCCGTGAATTCCTAAAAATGTGTTACCGGCTCAAATCGTGGATATTTGAAAAAAAATTCCGGGTCTCAATCGTGGCTATTTTCAAAAAGAGGATATTTTGATTTATTTTAGACCTAAAAATTTTTATTTGTGAAATGAGAACAATTGTCTGTCTCGTTTAACAATTAAAATCCATACTGGATCCTATCCCGAACATGTTTGTAAAAATGAACTTTTGATACCCTCCAGCCTTAGGGTAAAGGAAACATTTTTGTATAAAAATATCTGAATTCAAAAATGCTTTACTTTACATTTTATATAACAGACCGTTGGGATAATGCAGTTAAATTTATCAAAAACCATAAAATGAGTGAGGTAAAACACCATAAAGTGAATGAGGCCGTTATATGGGGCCCTACCAAAACGGGAACCTCAATGGAACATTTTATACTTCAAGGATTGTCAACTATCAAATTTTCTAAAATACCAAATATGAAACAATTATGTGGGTAAATGTGACTAGGATTATCAAAATAGGGAATATCGGTGGGTATCGATATATGTGCGCTATAAAAAAACGTGGAACTAAATATTCAATGTTCTGCAAAGGGCCAATTTTTAAACAAATTCGTGGGAAAATGTTCCAAAAATCATCAAAATACCAAATATCGGGATATATCTCATTTTAAAACATAGACACAATAAATGCTAAATTTTGACTCTCTACGTCAAATTTCATGATTTAAACTGACAGACGGACATCGTTAAATCGACTTAAAATTTTATTCTGATTATGAATATTTAGTGATGTTACAAACGGAATGATTAAGTTAATATACCCTCCTTTCCAAGGTGGAGGGTATAAAAATTGGGAACAGAGTCTTGTAAAATAATTTATTTTTGGGCAATTTCAAAACTATTCTCCTCTAGTTAAGAAGCTATGACATAATAAATATTCTGAATCGTTTTCAATTCAAATTGATTCCACAAATCGTACTCTATTCCAACCCTTCTTCCTTCCTTGGTTACATAAAAATACTACATGTTCTCCATTTTCATTTATATTTCATCCCAATCAATATCTCATATTTGGTTTGTATTTAAACTTTATCTCAAGTCTGTTTAAAAAAAAGTTCAGTCGGAGTTCCGACATTTAAATACTTATTTATGTTTACCTTAATTGAAGGACGTATCATAAAAATTAAATAATTCCAACTTTTCACTAAATCTAACATTAATATTTTAAAGAGAACTGAGAATAATACCAAATTTAAGTGAATAATGATTATTAAATATTTTGACCCTTGGTAGAATAGGTACCGGATTTAATGTTCAAATATGATCTGATGAAGATCTTATAGAAGAACATAGACTATTAACTTGATGATTCATTTAAACTTTAAAGGATACAGAAGAAGTCTTAGAAATTGGTGAATAGTAGAAAGATGGCATAGAACTAGATGTGTAAGTTAAGGAAGATATTGGTCTTTGCTTGCCCTCCAATATACGCTCGTTTCAAACCACACAACACCTCATATTTTAATTGTTTTTTATTATTTTTCTTTTCAAAGTTTTCAATTTTAATGATTGTTTAGATTTTTTTATTTTATTTATATGTGGGGCGAATTCATATTACAACAATTTATTTGTCATATCAATTTTCCCACATCTGGCCTGATAGGGCTAGCTTGTAATTTTATCATGGTTCAAATGGCCATTCTGGAACAGTTCCACACAGAATTGCATATCAGAAACAAACTTCCATTTTTACAATTCGCGACTTTTCTGGAGACTTTTTTTCAAAAATTTCTTTCGTAGAAACCTTTTTACTAGAATTAAAAACAACCGAAAACAAATGCTCTGAGTTTTGGCACATCCGACCGAATTAAGTCCAAAAGCATACAATTTTGGTGAAAATCAGTTCAGTTATATCTTTAACATACGATTGGTCTTTAAGTCCCTCGCATTTGTAACATGCATTCAACAACAATGATATTTGATACCAGATATCTTATAGAACTTGGAAATACCTTTGCCAAATTTTATCAAGATCGGCTAAAATTTATATTTCTCTCCCATATATATCCTTAATCCGATTTCAGATTATTAGGCAAGTAATCGCTAATATCAGCCCAAATGGAGTGAATTTCGGGACGTACGTTTCCATTTGGCGGAACTCGGATTCGATACATATTTTTTTAATATTATCCTTCTCGAAGTGATGTCATGCACTCTATAGCAATATTATTTGACATAATAGATAAAAATGTCTCCGTCAAATTTAGTGAAAATCAATTGGATATGCCTCCCATATATTACTTTACTCTGAAACTAAATTTTTACCAAATTTTCAATTTATAGCAAATTTGGTTGAAAAATGGCTACCACGCTTCAAATACCTTAAATCGGCGGAACTATTATACGAAAGCTATACGACTACTTGCTTCAACCTGTCCAGAAGTTATCATTATATTTTTCTACAAAAATATTAGTATTGTGAGGGGTTAAAAACCTATGACGCAGAGCATGAAAATCGGTGAATAAACAGAACAAGTAATATTTTTATCGAGACACACAAAAAACAGAGCAATAATTTTACAATAAGCATTGTTTATTCTGCATGTGAGTTATGTCACCAAATTCTTGCGATCTTTGCGAATATCAAAAATACTACCTTTAAATTGTGTGACTCAGAAAAGAAAAGAAATGTGTGATTCAAAAGTTTTATAGCACATTGGAAAGGGAAATAAATGTATAGATGCGTTGCATATTGCTTAGTGTGTGATAGTGTCTATCTGGCTTTCTTTTTCACTTAAAAAAAAAACAAGTCTGCATTATTGCCCATCTTTTGAAACATATATGTATTTATAGTCACAAGTAAATCGAATTGCTCCAAAATTGGCTGAATTGGTTATATTCTGAATTTGATCTATGATTCAAAATTCAAACTACCAAAAAATTAAACTTTCTATTTAAACATAAAAAATCAAAAGTTAATTTCGTATGTCCCCAGTGGAAGCTATGGCTATATCTGAGTCGAATTTAACCAAGTTTTATGAACTTGCTTTTAGGTACATGCCTATTTAGTGAGATATTTTTCCTTTGGTCCACAATAAACTTGAAATCGTTCGAAGATATATATGGGATAAGATTTAGAAGATTTTCCAAAAGAATTTTAGTTTTATTTAATTCTTTGGTTCCTCTTCTATTGATCTTACGATCTCGTCACTTGGGTAAAAAATATTTTTTTTATCATAGAAGTTATTTTTGAAATAACTTCTGGGGAGAATATCCCAGACAAAAAACAAGGTAACTGATGAGGATTGGTGGCTCTTTCCGAATCCTAGGTATTCCCTGCCTTACCCCCAGGTAAACATTACCAGGGGTTCTCCACTAATAAACAAACGTTGTTTTTATAAAAACAACAATAAAGGGAATAAGCCTGACCATTTTGCAACAGGAAAAGTTTTTTTCTCAATTATACATGGACAAAGAGACGACTCGATTCTATACATATCACCAAGAGACAAACATTT